TAATTCCATTATGACATATTGATTCATAGCAAAGAAATACATTAATTCCATTACAGTATTCTGTTTAAATTAGGTCCCTGTCTGAACAGAAAAGGTATTTTACACTGTGATCCCCCCATCACCTTCACTAAGAACAAACAGATCATTATCAATCTTTTATTCACATTTTACCAGTAATTCAGTCAAACAAAACCACTAGGAGGTCCAAGAAAACAACTATTTCTACTAGAAAGGGAACTAAGAAGCTTGATTTCCAAAGCCCTCCTCTACATTGATTATTCCAATGTTTAATAGAGAGAACCAGAGGATTTATGTCCTATATCTGCACACAAACATCTTGTCAGGTGTTGAAACTTCAGACTAAGTACAGAGATCAGTTGCAGACAAAGAAATAAGTTGACAAGGACCACTGAGAAGGAGCAGTACAGCAGGGCTGCTGAGTGAATTCAACTAAAGAATATCAAAATGGGTAAAACTGCAATATACTGGTGAAAGGACCAAACTTTAAGACCGTTTTTACAGTGGTTAGAAACAAAATAATCTAAAAAAAACCCCACACCAACATAAAAAATAAACAAAAACTTCCCCAAACCCATGAATTTCAACTCTAACAAAACTCAGTCTCATGATCACTGGCATTCCCTTTATCTCACATTAAATCCCAACTTCTTATCACATTTGTTCTGACATCCCAAACCAAGCCAGATCTGCCATGCACGTGCTCTACCACCCTGCCAATCCTGACAGTCTAGCTAGCAGCTTCCTAAAAAAAGTGAGTTTTTCCCCATAAAAGTGAGTTCTGCTCACCTCCTTTCTTCTTCTCTACCAGGTCACCAGTTTTCAAGAAACTTAGGAGTAGAGTTACCTTGGGAATTCTATTTGTCTATCAAATCCGGTTGAAAACAGTCAACAGTATCAAACAAGACACTCCATTTTCCTCAGAAACCCAGGCTAAAGAACCTTTTGAGCAAAATGTCTGAATTTAAGGAAGGGAGTAAAACAGAATAACCAAGAATCACGCCAAGTAACCTGGTAGAACTCTGAGGTTCTTATGCACATGTAGCAGGAGCTCAGAAAAAGGGAATTCATGGAACATGAAGTCTTGATGCACGACCAAGAGCACGACTCCACAAAAACACACCAGAAACTTGCAAATAAAATTAATATTAACCTATTTTCCTTCTATACATTTGCTATTCCACTACTGCAGGCTATCAGGAAAAAGCTTCCTTTTGTTCTTTGCGTCTGGTCTTTATGTACTCAAGGGTTGCATTCAGCCCACTGTAACTGCACAAATGATAGGAAATACCACAAGCATCAATCAGCAAATTTTGTGACTATGTGCTACAAACAATGACTTTTTTGACTTGTGTGCCTGATTACCCAGCACCTGATAAACAAGTATTTGCCTCAGTGTACTTATGAATGCTTAGCAAAGCTGGGAGACACATCAGTGTTTTGGAATCACACCACAACCCCTCTTTGCAAAATCTACTGATAACTCATAAACTCCAGGTGTTTTTTTCCAACTTGAACCAGCTTCAGGGAACCGGTACTAACACAACTAAACATACCCTGATCAGTGATATTGATACAAAGTAAAAACAAAACTGGCAACTCAGTGGTTTATAAAAATCACTTTTGCACATCTTAAATAACCAACACACACTTACTAATAAGGCGAGTTTTTGGTACTTCCTTTTCAGCTCTGCCAGACTGTCTGATGGTTTGGCTCCCAGGACCTTGTACCAATCCTTCTGTGTCGTCCTTCCAAAGGCCATTCCCTGGCTGCCTTTGAAATTGCCTTCTTAGCACTGTGCCAGAAAACCAAATAAACAGAATTACAATTTGAAACAGAAAAAGCAAAAGCAAGGACGTGTGGCAAACTACAGGATCACGGGACAGACTTTACCCCTCGAGCACCAGCACTGACGCGGCAAGTCTTCACAAATAAAATCATTCCTAATTTCCTTACAGGTGCCCTGGATCTTATTTTGCTACTTTTTGAAATCCCAGGAACAAAGGCTTTCCCCTGGCTACCACGATTCAAGCAGTTAGACAGGAGATGCAATGAGATTTCATTACCAGGAAAGGCACTCTCCTTGTCAGCGAGCTGGAGTCAGTCTGTGCCTCAACAAGCCAAGAATTACCAAACTCCTGAAAGCTATTAACCAATTTTATGGCCAGTGTGACTGATAAAAGTTCTGAACTCTGGTCAGTTTGGTGCTTTAGGGTGAGCTTCTTTTCCCTAGGTGAAGGTATAATAACCACATCTAGTAATTGCTACACACTAAAAAAGAAAATCTGATACAGGCAGATATTATCAACAAGTCCAAGTGAACTGGGCTCCCAGTAACAACATCAGTATCCTGGTATATAGCTCTCTACATGAGAACTATTGTACAAAAAAAGAGTTTAATTCACATGGCCATTCCATTCCATGAAGTGATTTAAGTTCTCTTGTGTCTCCTGTCCAAGTTCCTCAGTATATCACGTTTCAGCAGCAATCCATTCTTCTTTAAAAATCATTTTGCATGTAAAATGAACTGTTCTGAAGCTGCCCAGGTTATAAAAATGCCTTCTATATAGACACTTTTTAAATTACATTTTTGATTTTGAAATATGAATATACTGAATATTCAATATATTGAATCTACTCAGTATATTCAATATATTGCTTATTCAAAATATATTCAACATATGAAATAATTAATACAAATTAATACAAATATGAAGTAGATTCAACATGGAATAATTAATATGAATATATGAAATATATTCAATATATGAAAAGTGAAGTGCACAAAAGTGTGACATTTTGTCACTCTGTGAATGAGGTACATGCAAGAAGACACAAAGTTATACCTTGGTTTTTACATCATGACATTCACAGCAAGGACACTCCATCATCCTGCCGGGTAAGAAGACTTTGAGTTTTTTACTATTAAAGTAAAAGGACGTGTAAAAACAAGTAAACAAAACCGATCCAAAACATATAAAGTTAGCACAGGTCTCCAAGTAAAACCTAACTCGTTGTGGCCATCTATCACCAAGTTAATGGCCCAGGAAGGAAAACAACAAACAGGAGAATTAAATGCCAGCAACAGCACGGCAGTGTCCGAGCTTCCAGCAGATTCCTAGGTACACTGGAATCACAAGCTTGTGGTAGTTGATTTATCATGAACTCTCTGATAAGAAACACCACCGTCAGCAGGCAAGAGCTTTGTAAATAAATAAATAAATATTTTATAATTTTTTTTTTTTTTAAATTCCTGGAAGGAAGAAAAAGGACCTCGGGCCTCCGCAGCGGGCGGAGGGGGGCCGCCGCAGCCCGGGCCCGGCCGCGGCGCCGCGCAGCGCGCCAGGAGCTGCCGGAGCACCCCCGGTCCCGCCGCGCCCCCTCCGAACCCCTCCGGAGCCCCCCGGTCCGGCCCCGCACACGCACCTGCCCCGCACCGCCGCGCCCGCCCGCCGCGTGCCCCGCGCACCTCGTCCGGCGGGAAACAACCCGCCCGCGGCTCGGCCGGGGAGCAGCGGCCGGGCCGCCTCGGCTGTTTCCGGCCGGACAAGCGGCGGCGCCGCACCGGAAGGAAGCGCGGCCCGGGCGAGGCCGACGCGTCGCCATGGCAACCCCGCGGGGGCGAGGCCCGCATTCCCGCGGGGGCGAGGCCCGCATTCCCTCGGGAATTTCGGCCCTCGGGGTTCGGCCCTCAGGGGTTTCGGCGCGGCGGGAGGCCGCTCTCCGCCTCGTCCCCACACCCGCTCCCCGCGCAGGGACTCCTCCTCCTCCCGGGGCGCAACCGCCCCCTGGTCCTGCCCTCCCGCGCTCCCTGTCCCGACCTCGTGAGCAGAGTAATAAAATAAAATGGCCAGTCTTCGCGAACGAAGATTTTGGGAAAGGTCTTTTGCCTTTCAAGCCTGCGCAATGGATTTTTTTTTTTTTTTAGGTGAGACACAGCCTGCGCTGAACTGAACCCACCCTTTAATCCTAAGGTTCATCTGCCGGGGCCAAGCAAGCTTGGACAATGGCAGTGACGTCCCCAGGACGTAGGTTTGTTTAGAGTGACCTTCTCATAGATGGATGGCCTCGTGAGCAGAGTAAGACGGTGGTTTCTTTCCAGGAAATACTTGTCCTAAAGGGGAAGGAAGAACATAATCTTGATAGAAAAAAAAAAAAAATCAAGCTTGGGAAGCGGGGCTTTTAATGGCGTAAAGACGTTTCCTCGTTAAACAAACAAACAAAAAGTAAAAATAAAGCTTAAGTTGGTGCTGTAGAGTTCGGCTTTTGGAATCTCAGTCAAACCTAGTTGGCAAAATACCTAAATATTAGTCCAGACAAAATTAAATATAACATTTTATAAAGACATATTTTATATAATATATTTATAGATACGTATTTATAATATATTAAAAATGTTATACCCTTAGGTATATTTAATACGAGGTACTTTTAGGTATATTTAGGACAAGAGGCAACGGGCAGAAACTGATGCACAGGAAGTTCCACCTGAACATGAAGAAAAACTTCTTTACTGTGCAGTAAAGACCATGCACTGGAAGAGATTGTCCAGGGAGGCTGTGGAGTCTCCCTCAATGGAGATATTCCAGAACCACCTGGATGCAATCCTGGGCCGTGTGCTCTGGGATGACCCTGCTTGAGCAGGGAGGTTGGACCACTGGACCCATTGTGGTGCCTCCCAACCTGATCCATCCTGTGGTACCTTTAAGTGTGTATCATGCATCCTTTGACAACATTTTTATGTGACGTGTCAGCACTAAAACAACTTGTTGTCATTTGTCACTCCCTTTGAACTGTTTAAGTAGAGCAAAAGGCTGTACAGACACCGTCAGGGAGAACTGGGGCTGTTGTTCCCAGCATATTGTTCCCATTAACCACCGGTGCAGGAAGGCTGTGGGACAGTCGGGGCTGAATGATGAACATGGAAAATTTATTTAAGTTCTTCTTTATTTAAATTCTTCTCTAGGTGAGGATAGAGGTAGGGGTGGAAAATATCAAACCTACAAAACTACTCAAGACCTGATCATCAGTGTGATTTTTGTCTGTCCTGGTCATCAGTCTCTACACATCAGTCAGCAGGTTGGTGTTTTGAGGTCAAATTGGTAACATGACTTTGTCCATGTTGTCAAAAGGGAAAGACTCATCCTTCAGAACTTGTGTGAGCCCTGGGGCAACCCAGCCCCCTCTGGCAACGGGGTGTCAACTTCTGCAGCACCAGTGTCAGCAATTAGATATTTCACATAAGTCACTGACTTACAGATGAGATGTATCAAGTGTGAGCTCATTTATGTGGTCCCTTTGAAACCAGAATTTACTTCTCAGGCAAATTTCAGGGTGGTTGCATGAGTTTCCTTCTTGTCTGGGGCTGTCGTGTGAGTAGAGACTGTTGGTGTGGAGGGGGGAAATGAAGCAGAAGTTTGTAAAAGATGCAGGGATATCTTGGAGATTGGTTATTACACCTGTGCTTTCACCACAAATGGTTAATATCCTTCTACAGACTGGATACATTTACAATATTCGTTATTTATCCTTTATGCCAAAAATTCTTAAATGTTGCATATAGTTTTTTTCCGTTGTAACTCATTAAAGGATTGGTACCTGAAGCCAGCTCATGAAGTAATTTATACTCAATCTCTAGAAATTTAAGAGATTGTGAGCAATTGTATCCAGTAGTATAACTATCTGTAACTAGTTGTTGAATATAAAGTTAACAATGCATGTTAAAGAATTATCTATGAAGTTAGTGGAACAATTTTGGAGGTGAAACACTCTTTTCTGTGTGTGCTCAGCAGTTCTGCCAAAGTAAAAGAAAATAGGCCATTTAATATAACAGTTTGGTGTTTATGCACCACAAAATGTTTAGATTATGAAGTTAAATCACTGCAGGATTATCTGGCCTTGTCTGGTATTATAATTTTTGTGTCTCGGTTTCTTTTTTTAATTTTTATCTATCCAGTTTCAGAAGTCACCACATTATGTTTGGGTTAGTCATAGCTAATCATACACTGTCTGACTGTAGTGACTTGTGTTGATCAACCTCAAGCCAATTTGGTAAACTTTCATCTCTAGAGATATAAATATTAACTGAGTTCAAGATTTATTCAAAGGAAATGGGTGTGTAGGGGAGAGAGAGCAAGGCAAGACTGACAGAACCCAAATGGCTTTTGGCAGCTCCTGGCTGGTGAGTCAGCAGGCAGTTCAAGTAGGATTTGCTGCTTCTTTCCTCTTATGAAGGCAAAAAAAAAGGAGTAGTTAAGTGTGGGGAACTTCCTATGACAGTCTAGGACAGGGAACTCATGGAGAAGATTTTGGGATTGTTGTCCCAAAATGAGAAATAGGACACCCGTGTCTGTAAGGAATCAGGCTTTACTAGTTGCTTAATTATCTTAAATTATGTATAAGTGCTGATAATTTCACTGGAGCTGGACACCTAAACATGGTAAAAAGTTTCCTTCTCCTGTTTAATGTAAGATAAATGTAGGTTGGCAGTTTTAGAGATTTTTGTGAGAATATATAACGTTTTTAGTGAATGCTTTATTTAAAACTGTCACACAGTATTGTGCTGTGTTGTCATAGAACTGCAGGAAATGAATTATTTAAAGACTTAACTGGCCTACTGTGTACTTCTATTACTACAATAAAAGATGAGTACAAATGAGGGACCAGACCAGAATTATTTTATTCTTTTAAGAAACAGCTGAAACATCCAGACTTTCTAACTATTAATGATGTTTTTAACTTCTGGAGACAACTGGTATTGTTCAAAATCTTTTTCAGAGTAGTAAACTCTTTTGATTTTTTGGTTTGTGTTGATTTTATATTGCTATATATGGAATCCTGGAATGGTTTGGGTTCGAAGGGGACCTTAAAGACCATCTTGTTCCAACCCCCGGCCATGGGCAGGGACACCTTCCACTAGGCCATGTTGCTTAAAGCCTTATCCAACCTGGCCTTGAACACTTCCAGGGATGGGGCAGCCACAGCTTTTCTGGGCAACCTGTTCCAGTGCCTCACCACCCTCACAGTCAAGAATTTCTTCCCAATATCCAATGTAAACCTCTCTCAGTTTAAAGCCATTGCCCCTTGTCCTATCCCTACATGCTCTTGTAAAAAGTCCCTCTCCAGCTCTCCTGTAGTGCCTTTGGGTACTGGAAGGCTGCTGGAAAGTCTCCCAGAGCCTTCTCTTCTTCAGGCTGAGCAGCCCCAATTCTCCCAGCCTGTCTCCATAGCAGAGGTGCTCCAGCCCTCTGAGCATCTTCATGGCCCTTTTCTGGACTCACTCCAACAGGTCCATGTCCTTATTATGTTAGGGGCCTCCGAGGGCAGAGTACATATGTGTACAAAAGAGAGACACATAGCTTATAAAAAACTCAGAAGACAAGTCTTTCTAGACTGCTTAGCATCCAGAATATTTGAGAAATTACAATTTTTGCAACAAATGCCTTTTTAGTGTCGGAAAGGCAGAGTTATTTCTTAGGATTCCTATCTGGACAAATATGTCCCTCTCTGGACAGCACTTACATTTGTTAAACTTCTTGGTGCTGTTCTTGATACAAAGCACTGCACCTGAATGGGTCTGTTAGATCACTTGTTTATTTATGTAATTAATGGTTTTCTGAAAGCATCATCTCCTCTGCTTACTTGTTTGTCTCGTAACTGAGAAGAAATAGGATTCATGGGAATAAAGCCTGAAGAAAGCACCAGATCACCTAATCTGAATTTTTTTATTTATTGCAGGACTGTTCCAAGTTCAGTATGTTCTGTCTGACTGTTAATATTAAAAGATGGAAAATTCCTCTCTTGTGAGAAGGCTTCTTCAACACCTAACCATCCTACTGGTAAAATTGGTTCCTAATTCTAAGCTTGAATTTGCTTGGCTTCTATTTCCAGCCTTTATTTCTTCTTGCACATTTTGCCTTAAACTGTTGTGTTTTAGTATCTGATGTATACTGTTAAAATAAGCCCTGAATGTTGATTGGGGTTGATAAATTTAAAAGATTGAGCATGTTTAAGTCACGCAGAGATGGATATTTTATCTTAAATAATTTTTGTAATTGTTCTTCATTTTTTTCACCTTTGTAATGTGGCAGTTAATATCACCAATTAATTAATGTGGCAAGTAATAATATGTATTTCACTAGGGGGTCTCACTGATACTCCTGGTGTGCTGTTTTCATCCTGGCTGTTTAAGTCAGTACAGTGAGAACAATTTTTTCAAATGAAGTTTTCTGTCAGAACTATGGCAGTCAACTGACTCAAAAAAGTGGTAAAATGGAAAATTCTGATTCTGTTTCTTGGGAACAATCGAGAGAAAATAATTTGTTCAACACTGGACAATGTTGAACTTCTTTTTTAATCCAGATATTAAAAATCCTTGAAAGAGTTAGGATTACTTTAAAATTAATAGTGGATTTTTTTCCTTTTTTTTTTTTAAGAGAAAGGGGTCAGAGATCTGAATGTTAAGTTCTTCCAGAATTTGTTTTAATTGCATCAGGTTTGTCAACAGTAAAAAGAAAAAGTTTTGTCTCCCAGGAGATGTGCATATGATAGACTAAATGTCATAATGATGTGAACAAATGAGATGTAACATGCACGGAAAATATATGTTTTCCATTAAAGTTCCACAAAAATGATTGAAAATGTCTTGGGAATTATTTAAGCAATTTACAATATTGTTTAAAAAGGTACATCTGGGCACACTGAGTACAGTCTTTTGTCGTTCATTAGCAATGTATTTAATGAGGGTTTTTTTAAGTGATAGATAGTTAAGGTAACAGACAAGTGACAGATTGTTTGTCTTTAACGATTTCCCTATTTCAGGCCCATTACAAAGCAATTAGAAATCTGACAGCATTTTTACTCTGCATTACTGATCATCTAAAGTGATGAGAAATGAGAGGTGATGAATATTAATTGTATATTTTCATACAATTATCATAAATTATTACCTTGTCTAGTGCGCTGCAGGTGGAGTAAAATCAATGGATGAAAATTCAGTCAAATATGATAATTTGAAAGATTTCATGACTTAGTTTTTGTCTTTAAAGTGCAGTGTCAATCAGTGCAAACCAGGCATACATTAACTGCAGGAAAGACAAAGATACTCACACCTTTCCTTGCTCTGCTAGCACTGCTCAGCATGGCATTTACTCTTGTGCCCTGTGACAAATTATTTATCTCTTTTTTTGTAGCCTGCCACGTTTACCCTGGGCTTGTGTCTATTCCTCTCCAACTTTTTTCCATAAATATTTACATATGGCTTGAGCATTGAAACAGCACTAAAAGCTGTGCACTGGGCTGAACAAGTGGCAGCTATTCTCATCTCTTGTCACCCACTTGGTAAATATGCATTGTAATGTATTACTTAATTACACTGTGCTTCTATTCTCAACCAAAAATGAGGAGTGCTCACATGACTTGTTTGTTTAAAGTATGGACCTTTATTCAAACTGTGTTCTAGAGGTGCAGACATCAATAATAAACACCCACAACAAGCAGTGGTTACACAATTTTACTTGGTTCCACACTGTAACTTCGAAGTCTTCGTGACACTATTGTATCATGTGTCTTGAAAGGTCAAAGGATATCATCAGTTCCCTTCCAGACAGGGAGAAAGATGGCACAAAGATTGAACTGTCGAAGTAACAATGAATTTTGGTGCTCTGTTTTGGAATGCAAAACTCCTATAAATTACAGCACTTAGTTTTATAATGCATCTCCTTCATTTACAGTTAGTGGAAAAATAACAAAACCAGATTACTGATGCTCAAAATCAGGTATTTAGGAAATGTGACTAGTGCTTGTGTTTTTCCTGGGAAAATCACTTTAGTCTTTTAAGACAAAAACAAGAATGAAATTCCATTTATCTGAGGCATCAGACCTTACCCATGAGATAGTTCACTCTTTTACTGCATTTCCCTGCATATTTCTGGCTCAGAGAAGTGATTGAATTGGAGGAATCGTAAAAAGAAGTTATTATGTCACTAAGCCTACCAGAATCCATGTACTTAAATAAAAACTCAAGTGCGAATTTATATTTTTTATCTTGATTTTCAATGCTTGATTTTGCAAACTTGATAATTTAAACAAGCTGCATTTGAAAAATCACGTTATTAACATGATGTTCTACCTTCCAAAATTGCTGTGTTAGTAAGGAAGTGTGTGGTGTAAGGGTGTGGAGTGTTTTCTCATGGTGGCAAACCTCACAATCCTCTACTGCCTTAATTTGGTTTCTTCAATGGCCACAAAACCAGGGTTAAACTGCCTCTGATAGTGACCAGAGGTGGAAGGAAAGGGTGACAAGAAAGAACACTAGTGTAGACAAAACCTTCAGGTGTTAAATCCTCTGAAATGTGTATTTTTCATATATGTATTAAACGCTTTCTGGGTCAACAGCAGGTGGTTACAAGCACACTGCTGTTTGGAAGTAGAGGTCTCATTGATCAGTAAACTGCCATTATTGGTCACACTTTGTTGGTGTGGTATATTCTAATCCCCATTTTCATCATAAGATGGAAAAGGTAGCATGACTGGGCTGGTACCACCAGGCATCACAGTCATTGTAAGGCATCTTATTTAAGAGTTGGACCTTGTCTGAAGTCAAGGTCCAGCTCTGTCTGAGTTTAAATTATAGATACATAAAAGTCAGCTTATTTTTTCCCCCAGTTGTATGCTAGTACATTCTGTAGTAACTGTTTTCAGATGTTGTAATTTCAATCCTGGTTTTGTCATGTATGCTCAGTATATTTAATAAGGAATTGCATGATGCTCTGTGAGACTGTAAGAAAGGACTGCTCTGTGATACACATTTTTCTCAATATCCTTCTGCAACTGTGAAAGGAAAGAGTGCCATTTATGGCTTTCCTTTTTTCGTGTCTGTCACTGAACACAGAACAGTTTTAATACCCATCCATCCTCTCAGTATTAAAATTGCAGTTATGCCTGTCCTGCATGTGGATTTTTCAAACCAAAGGACCTCTTTTCTTCCTCTCCCTCTTGTACATATGTTCACATTCTGCTTGGTCACATGCTGCTAACCATGTGTGTAGAGCCACATGTTATGTCATATTCTTTTTTAAAATTCCTGCAATGAAAAGACTGGATAAGACTCCTTTTGTTGCCAGACCTGAATCTTTATTCTGATATACTTAAACCAAATATTCAGGGGTTTGAAAAGCCTTTTCAGAACCGGGTATGTTTAATGTCACTTTGGTTACTTGCTACTGCAAACTGCAATATACACAAAGGCAAGGGAGCAACAACTATGGTGTCCACAAAGCTTGAAAACATGACAGATTGACAGTATTTCACAGCTTATGTTAAAACTAGCTTCTTTAGAAAGGTAATTATAAAATGAAATATTTAGTTCTGGTATTCATTTTATTTTAATGGGCTCTTTCTAAGATAATTGCTTATGTTTTCACATGTTTGTTCAAAAAAAGTACGAGGCTAATTGGTTTTTTTCTTATTTTCTTTAGAGATACGGTTTATAATTTATCATTTGATGTACACTTTTCCATTATGTGGATTCTTTAAAAGACTAAAGTACTTTATGAGTATGGCAACAAGTAGTAAAGTGCCTTTTAGTGTTACAGGGAAGAATATAGTTGCTGTTCCTCAAATGCCATTTAATTATATATTCCTATACTACATATATTTTTCAGTCTTACCTTAAGGAAAACTGTTGCCTCTTCAGTTTGAACTGAAAGGTGTAGTTTGAAGATACAGCTGTGCTGCCCTAATGACCAGTTGTCAGTGAGTGAAAGTGGCAAAATTCTTCTGCCATTCCTTCTTCACCCACTTCAGTCGTGTGCTCTTGCTGCCCATGCATCAACACCACCCTTTGTGTGACCACAATTCATTGAGATAAAGGAGTAAAAATCTAGTTCTGCCAAAAAAATGATAATTTTCTGCTGATTTAAACTCCACTGAACAGATTTGTCATGTCTCAGTGTCAGCACAGAGAAGGCGGCTGGAGGACTTGTCTGGGACGAGGGGAAGAGATGGAAGAGAGGAGCAAGCCTTGCCATTTGGTGTCACCTAGCCACCAGATTAGATATTAGTTTATCATCAAATTGCATGCTGAGCTAGACTGTGTAAAATCCATAAAAGTAAATACATGATAAACAAAGCTGTTCTGAGATAATGCATTTCACCCAGGTGTGTTTAAAGGTTAAGATATATAAAATAGGAATAGTGCTCAATCATAGGAGATCAACCCAGTCAAATGGAAATAAATGTTACTGAATAAAATTTGCATTTCTTTCTGATTTTTGTAACTGGTACTGAGATTCACCTGGTTTAATATTAAATTTATGTTTCAGCAGTACGGTTGGGGTTTTTTTGGCTCACAGAATTACTCTGGTCTACTTTATTACGTTATTGGTACCAGTTACCTTAATGTTGATTGGGGGCTGGGGGAGGTTTTCTGTTGATGTTTCAGGCAAGTTCAGGGCCCATTGTGTTAGACTCTGTACAGACAAATCATTAACAAAATCCTCTCAACAAAAAATCAGGTCAATCTATTTCACAAAAGATCTAAAAGAAAGAGTAATTCAAGAAATTTGGGAGGGCAATGAAACAGCAACCTCTTTGCATCACTGGTCAAATGGATCAGTTTGTGAGACTTACAGGTTTTGTAGCTGTTTTCAGTGAACACAATGTTAAAAGTTGGTCATGCTAATCTAAATGACATGATGATGTGTCTGCATTTTGTGCACTGTGAAAATAATAATATATATATACTTCAAATGCAAACATTCATTTAAGAAATGCACAACAGGGCTTCAGTCCTGCAAAGAAGTGTGTATACTTCTATTTGCACTGCAGTAATGGGCACACTGACATGCTTAATATTAAACTGTGTGAGTATGTGCTCTTAGACTGTAAGGCCAGCTTCAGGTTTTGCTTTAGTGTTTACTGCTACTGTTAGTTTTTCACTGGTAACTGTGATTGCTAAGCTGTTCTACATATCAGCCCATAAAATCTTGTCCCTGAAAAATAGTGCAGCCGACTGTGTATGTAAATTGTGTGTTGTTTCTTTTCATTAAAAGGAAACCTGTTTTCGGAAATTGATCTTGGTGCAATATTAAAACAAGCACTCAATTTAAGAGCTTACTTTGTAAGATTTGGCCAGCAGAGCTTTTGCAGTAACAGCATGAAAGTTTCCTTTTCACAGGTAACGGATGGCAGATCTCATGAGTAAGAAAAGGATAATTTTAGGTTTTCTCAACTGACCAGCCTGTATCAACCAATTACAGGTAAAATGTTAGACTCTATGTATGTCTAAAAGCCAGTGATCTGCCTTAGGTTTGAATTAGGTGTAAATTCTGACCTGGACTCAGGTAATTTTATCTGAAGGTCCATTGCATACTTTTCTTCTCCTAAATTATAAAAAAAAAGAACCCTTCCTATTAAAAGAAATAAATACTTACAAAGCTCATGATTTCCTGGTGATGTCTATGTAGAGACAACTTCTGAAACACAGAAGTTTTTCCATTTCAGTAGAGGTAGAGAAGATGGGGACAGCAGGGAGAAAACAAGAGGTGAAAAGATGGATTTACTGAAAATCTGTATGACTTGATTTCAGATGTTTCTGATTTGATTGTATGTACAGATAATCAGATTAATCTAAATCCACAAAGAATGTAATTTCTCTCTTTATTTATAGCCTCCAAATTTCCCTTCCGCTTTCAAATCTTGCAGCTCCAGAAAAGAGAAATATGCAAAGTATAGAGAGATTCCAAATGAAACTCTGTCTGAATCCCACCATATTCTCAAAAGCTGTAGAGAAAATAATGATAAAAGATTGGTTCAATTTTTTAAATCACTGTTTAATCATCAGTCTTAAAAATTGACAAAAAGCCTGCACTTTCATTTTAGTTACAATCTTTTGTACTTCTAAACAGGAAATGGCAAACAACAGAAGTCTAATAAGTGCTCAGGAAAAATGCCATATGGTATGTGCATCGTCACAAAAAATACCATGAGCTCTAAACTCTGCAAATGTCTTCATGCCACAGGGATGCACAGCCTCCATGAGCAAAAAAAAACCTGAGTAAAGCCATGGCAACTTTTCACTCATGTAATTTGTCAATGATGCTTCATTTGCTTCTGTGTGATAAGTTGAAAAACTATAATTGACTAAATATTTTGTTAGCATCAGTCTCGGAGTAAGGATGAAGAGATGTGGAACATTTAAAATATTTTTATAGTTTCTCTGTATGATGTACTCTTGGTTTCATTTGAGCGTGGGTGGAAATATCTCAAAACCCTACAGGGACGTTGATTTTTAACTTTGGTTCTCTATTTAAAATTTTTTATTTCTGAAAAGCGTTTGTGAATTCTTCATTCTGGGTCTACCTGCAGCTGACTAAGAGGTCCTGAATCTTTATTCTGATATACTTAAACCAAATATTCAGGGGTTTGAAAAGCCTTTTCAGAACCGGGTATGTTTAATGTCACTTTGGTTACTTGCTACTGCAAACTGCAATATACACAAAGGCATCTAAAATAATTTTCTTTGTCTTCTAAAATAATTTAATCTAAAATAATTTTCTTTGTCTTCTCACATCTCTCTGCCTCTTTAGACACCATTTCTTGCTCTTTGGTCAAGCAGCAAACCGGAACACCGAGCCGTGGTGTTTATAATTGATTTCGGTCAGGAGAGCTGAAGATACTTCTGTAGCAGAGGAAGTATAAGAACGATTAAAAATGCCAAGGTACGGCGCGGATTTATTGAAGGGGAGCGATCCCAACGTGTCTGGAGAGCCCTCGCCAAGGCTGTGCCAGGCGGGCAGCCTTGCCATGGAGGGGCAGGAGCGGGGCTGGTGACAGGGTCCCATCCGTCTGGTGACGGGGTGACAGCGGGGCGGAGGGTCACTCCTGGAGCAGAGCAGCAGGACAGGGCAGGGCAGGGAGAAGGGCCCGGGCAGCCCCCGCGGGAGGGAGCGGCCCCGCGGGGCCGTCTGGCGGCTCCCCCCGGGCACTGGGAAGGGGGATCCGCTCGGCTCCGCTCTGGCAGAGCTGGCCGCCAGCCCAGCAGCCCAACCCCAGAGCCAAACCCCTCCAGCCACGGCGGGTCCCAGGGTGCTGCTCCCCTTGTTTCTCTGCCGCACAGAGAGCAGATGGCAGACACTGACTTGTGCGAGTACGAGTGACGCTTCAGTCTCAAACTTCTATAGCTTTTTTTTTTGGCCTTGTTACCTACCCAACTAGTAAAACTACGCTATGGTAGCTCAATTATCAGTTTCTTTAGGAGGGCTTGTTTTGGTCAAGGAAGTGTATATTCCCATTTTTCGCCCCCATTTCTTTTCCATAGTGTGGCATCTTCATTCCTTGGACATAAAGTAGTTTTTGTCTGATCCGTGTCTCTGGGGTGAGATAGAAGAGATGCGTTGGGTACTGTCTAGTTTCTTGGCTAATTAAGAAGAGATAGTAAATGCTCTCAGATTATTGCTATAACCAAAAAGAACTGATCAAACATTTTCTTATGCATTAAGCACCAGTTGCTTCCCTGAGCAGCCTGGTTTCTTTTCTCTAGTGTACTAGAGAAAAAGTTTCCATGGCCAGAGGTCTGTGGGATGCCAGGGTTTCAGTGGGGAAGTGACAGAAAGGAGAAACAGTTTCTTTCTATTCATCAGCTCAGAGATCCAGTGTAAAATTTTCATTCAAGCCTTTGGCAAAATTCCCAATAATTTCACTGGGACAAGAGTTTCACTCGCAGCCTGTACTTATTAGGTTATTACTCAGCATGTACTCATTTAGAATGGATTCTAGTTTCGTGATAGCCTGTAATTGGAAAGAGTGTTAGGAGAAAAGTAGAAGATATGTTTTGGTTTTGTTTGTTTTTTTTTTTTAATAAAAGGAAAACAATAATCACTTTTTCTTTCCAGCTGCTGTATGAGCTGAGATCAGTTTAGTTTACTTGGTAGGTGTGAGGTTTGCAGCATTATTTGTTGAAGAAGGTCCTTCTCAAAATGATAAAAATTGTGTGTGTAAAGCTGTCCTTTGTTCAGTGAGTTGTTATGAAGGCAGCTTCCCAAACATTGAATTTGATAAACTATTAGGCTTTGGTTTTTACCTTGTAAAACATGTATACTGTGGGTTTCCTGCATAATGAAATGAAATTTAGAATTTTCACAAGTCTTATGATGATGTTAATGCAGACCTGTACCAGAAAATGTTTCAGGACCATAATATATGAAACGTCCTCTGCTCACTTATCAATATAAAAATATATTAATATGGTTATCTGGGGCATACATGCATGCAGTGCAACAATAATGTAAATGCAAACAAATATGAAACTCATATGATGGCTCAAGAAAAATAACAATGCAAACAAATAATGAATAATATAAGATTTGCTTAATCCCTCCATCATGATTAAGATCTGATATAGCCATTATTTCAATTTTTAATACCTTTAATAGATAAACAAAATGTCTTTGCTGTTCAAACAATGCTTTTCTTGAGAAATCCAACACAAAGTACAAGTACAGAAATAAAAATAAGGTAAATGTAAGTAGGAGAATACTGAAATAAATCCCTATATCTTTGGAGCAACTACTGAAAAAAAATAAAGCAAAGAATACATGCTTGTCAAATACGCAGTATAAATAAATAATTTAGGTGAAAATGGATGACTAGAAATAACAAAGAGACGACCAAATAATGAAAGGCTAAAGGGTGGTTGTTACATCTGATGTTCTTCATTGTATATTGTAAGTAATTGCTATCCATAAAAAATCCCATGGCTTCAGTATAAGAAAAAGAGACAATTTGACAGGCAACACTGGCAGCAAGAGACAGCAAGTACAAATCCTTGGCAACTGTCATTATCCTGCTGTTGAATTCACATCCCAAACTGTGTGATAACTTTGACCTGTATTGCTGTTACAGAACCAATATCTGTTACAGTAACTATATTTTTCACTTATCAAAGGAAATCATTAGCCACAATTAGCCAAGATTTACGTCTTAGAAAACCGTATGGACTATTTATTTACTTCTCCTTAGTACACTGTTGTTTTCTATTTAAAGAAGAAATATGGAGATGTGCTTTAGTTACACAATAATGAGTAATTACAAAATTGCACCAGAGCAGTAGAATAGAAATTTTGATCTGACATAGCTAAACAATTTCAGCATGTAGAACTAACTGAAAGTAGAAGTTCCTTTTGTAATAATTACAAAAAGGCCTCAGTGTTTTGGCCATGAATAAACAGCAGTTTAATTGCTTTTATATGGGAAAAAAGAATTGTTAGAGCTCTGCAGGTTTTTAGTTGTTTTCGTTTCTTCTCCTGTTTAAAGTTCTGGTTTCAAAATCTTTTCTCTCTGTATCTCTATCTGAGCATCTTTCCTTGTGCTGTAGAAATAGGATCACAACATCTTGGTGTTAGCAGCTAGCAAAATTTTCCTTTAATGTGGAGTAACATTCTTCCTGACTAGTGAATGCCATTTCAAACTGACTCTTTGATGCAGTTTCTACATATTAAAACTTTAATTTTATGGTGTTTAATTTCCAGGAGAATGGGCACCGGAGTTACATCTAAATCTGAGTTTTCCCAAACTATAAAACAGCTCAGCAGTGCAAGGGTAAGGTTACTTTTGGTAATTGCACTCTTGCATCTTCTGTTTGAAACCACCTCAGTGAAGGAATTGGAGTGTGTGCACAAGTACCCTAAGGTTTACACACACTGTACACATAAATAGTTGTTATGATGGGGGAAATTGTAAGGAAAAGCTGGACAAGGACTGGGGAACAATAATACCTGTGGTATATTCCTTTTATAGTATAATTTAGTGACAGTAGGTTTTGTAGGTGTATTATATATTGTTAAAAATATATGCCTACAAAATGTGTGTTGAAAATATTTGCTACACCAGCCCTCTTACATGAGGGTTTACTTGTCCTGTAAGCAAGGTCCTTGGTAGGTAATGCTGACAGTGCTGCTTTTATTCCATCAGAGTAGTTTGTGAGTGGCAAGTTACGATTTTATCAGGTAAAGAATCAAGGAATCTACAGAGTAAATAATGGCAATTAATGCATTTTCATTCTATAAAGAAATTTCTTTCTGGTTTTGTGGTTATTTTCTGCTTTTGAAGTGGGTAACAAAGTGGTCTTTTAAGGAAAAGAGTGTTTGCAAAAAATAATGTCCTCTTGCTGTCACCAGTCAGAATGAAAACACAGCATAGTGTGCTCAGATCTCATAATACTAAAACGAGTTTTCTTTGATTGAACTCCAATATTTAATATTCCTCAGATAGTATGTTAGCTTAAGGATTTCCTAGGAAGAAATACTGCAATTCATGTGGACAAATGTTAAAGTTCCCATTTGTTGTGATATCATTTTTGTAATTTATAATGGGAATGTTCTGATACTTCGGAGTTATTTGAATATGAAAGGAGAATGAGGGCTTGATCTCATCCAATTCCTTTCTTGCTTCATCTTGATCTTTAATACTGCTCTTGACACAGTTACACTGGTGCTGATTTGGATCTCCCAAAGACTGGATAAAATTAGATTGCTTGATCTTCATATGGGTGCATATTCCATCTAGGCTTTTGGCCTAGGGTACAAAGTAATTTTGTGCCATTAATAGTAGCCTCAAATTGAAAGTTGGAGGCTTTTGTTCTCATTATCTTTAATGTCTTTATGCAAATAAAACTTTTTTTTCTAGCTTATGAGGTAATTTAATGTTCATTTTGTACGAAGGAAGGCTAGCACAGACTTCATGCTAGTACAGTGTGGCATAGCTGAAATACCTGCTGTACTTCACCATAATCCTGTCCTACAGCACTTTATACATTTCCCTTCTGATCTTGGCTTGTGCAAAGATTAGTTGAGCTGAATTACAAAATAACGTTACAGTTTGCAGAAATAGGAATCAGTTTCATAAGGTATTTTGCAACTTTAATTAAGGTATTGTAGGCTTTTCTGAACTCTGTACAGTTAATTAGTACTAATTTAAAGTAGTTGAAAGTCCAGAGCAAAAAGATAAAATTTTAACCACGTTTATCATATTTCTGTTTCAGAAAATATTTCCCTCCCT